AACATTTCTTTCCCTTCTAAGCTTTATCAGTTATAAATGCCACTGCTCAGTGGGAGATAAAATCGAAGGTCTCTACGATGCATGCTCAAAGCTGAACCATTTAATGGTCCACAATGATAAGTCTAGATATTGAAGGTGTTTAGAAACATTTATAGCAATTTGACATTTTTATTGTTTTTTTAAAACATTGGTCCATGACAGATTGAAGTTTTCAGATAGTTTGATAGCACACGGTCTGTTGTCTGGATACTTTATCACTAGTTCTGACTGCTAGTCTGTTCCATTGAGAAGCCTTAGTAGGCATGATGTGGCCTGTGGAATGAAAATGCAGGTTTTCATAGAATGTTCTGTTTACATACACATATTAGGAGTATGGGGAGAGTGGCCACTTCTCTCAGTGGTCCCATCTTGGGAGTGAGAATCAGAGAGGCACTTTCACTTCCTGCCTTATACACTTGTATATTTTGGGGCTTATATATAGACTACTTTTATAAAAATAGGAACAAAAAGGTTGTTGCCATTTTAGGAAAAATAAAGCCCAGGTTGCTGGCTTTTCCTCTGGGGCTTCCTGGCTTTCCCAGTTTGTCAGAACTGTTCTCAGATCATCACACCCCTGCCCTGTACGCAGTCCAGGGCACGAGTCCACAGTTCATACCTGCTGTGCTGAATTACTTTTTAGAAGGGATTATCAGAATAAGAACATTTAAGTAGTGGTAAAGTCCTGTGTAAATGAGGAATGTGTGCTGTTGGTATTTGTCTGCTTCCTTTCTTTGCATCTAAATGTGGTTATTACTTGTCTTTTATAAAAAGGTATGGTTTCCGGAAGCCACCATATGTAGAGCTGAAAGCTCGGCCAAAACTTGGAGAGAGAGAAGTGACTTTAGTTCATGTGACAGACTGGATAGAGAAGAAACTGGAGCAAGAGTTTCAGGTACGCCTGCAGGGTCATCTAGTGTTTCACAGAGGCTGGAGCTCTGGGTAGGGAACAGAGGTCTGAACTTCATGTGGGTCAGGATCCTCTTGAGGATCCTTACCCTAGGAAAGTACACATATGGTCAAACAGGTGTAATAGTTTCAAAAACTCAAACTCATCCACAGCACCCTGTTTAGCCTTCAAAAAAGAAACCCAAAAGGTGGGGTCAAGTCTCAAAATGACTGTCTTGTACAGTAAGCTTGGTGAAGGTTGAGCCCTCTGTTTAAGGGTGGGCCATCTTTGGATTATGTGGGCCCACTACCCATGGTCAGTGAGGTTGCTCCCCCCTGCACCCTCGTGTGATATCCACCTTGCTCAGTTTGTTCAGTTCTCATGGAAACCCTACCCCCTACCCCGGAATCTAAAGATGCACCAGGCCTGTCCCTCCCCTGTGGATCCTCCAGGGTAGCCTTGGAGTTTCCTAAGCCAGAGCTCACTCTCCAGGCCTGTCTTCTACATTCTGCCACCAAGGGTTAATAACAGTGTAGCCGAAGCCCTGGGATGAGCTATTTTTATCAAATTTTAATCAGATATTTGAGGCACAGTTCTTTCAAGGTTTTATGGATTAGCAATTTATTGACTTTGTACTGGATTTCACCTTTAGAAGAAGACACATATATTTTTACAGTGGTATGTTTTGAGTTACTACCTTGAAAATGGTATTTTTATTATTTAAAAGCTATAAATTAAATATACTCGGAAACCAATTTCTGGAAAGCTTATCATCACCAAATAGAAAAGTGCTTTGAACCTAATTATGGGAGACACCTTGTGCCTTCAGTTAGAAAACATTTTATCTCCCTAGATTGTACGTTAGGAATTCAAGGTCATCTTTTTTGGGGGTATCAGGGTATGAGGAATGAAAGAAGGAACAAGGGGTCAGAGGTTGGTGCCTGGTATTTTTTAGGCAAATTGGGAAGTGAAAGGGTAGGTGCTGCATTCTCCCGTAGCCACCTGTTTTTGTTTTCATTTATGCTTTTGGAAGAGAGCCTTACTGAAGGTTGAATGTGTTGCCGTAATTTACTTATGTAAGTCTATTTCATATACAGGCAAAGCACCATTACTATCAACCACTGATTATCCTTTGGGTAACTATAGTAGGATTTTTTGGTCTGGTTCTGGTTTTTAAAAAAAATTATACATTTTGTTGCTAGATTTAAATGGATAAATTCACTTGGAGTATGTCTTCTAGAAATAATGAGCAACTTAGCCAGTGCTCTTAAAATAACGTCAAGTCCATTTGTCAGTTTACAAATAATTTCATTATATGTACATGAAATCAAAGGTTGCTTCTGCCTTCGGGGCTGAATTTCCTGGGTTCTTGTGTTCATAGTGGAAGAATCAGTTTGGAATGTGTAGGGAGTTGTTTCATCTGTATTTTAAAAACTTGTCTAAAGCCTAATGATCAGAGCAGGGAGGGTGACAGCCTGAGAAAACAAAGCATTTTTCTACACGGCTGCTCTTTCTCCCTACAGAAAGTTTTTGTCATGCCAAACATGGATGATGTCTATATCCCTATAATGCACTCAGCCATGGACCCTCGCTCCACCTCCTGCCTCCTGAAAGACCCGCTTGTGGAGGCTGCTGACCAGCTGTGATGGGGGAAGACCTGACGTTGCCAGTATTACAAGATCTAGCTCCAGGTGCGGGGTTCTTGGCTACCGTCTGTGCTGTAGCACAGGCCTTTCCTCTTGCCACAGCTTCTGCCCTCTGCCTGCCAGTGCCCATTCCACTGTGAGGTGTCATTCCATGCATCCAGCAACTGGTGTCTGGATTGCCTACTGCAAAGCTTTGACTCAAAGGAGATTGGATGAATCATCATGGTGGATCCAGAGGTTATGTGACTCACACCATTGCTTTTTTTGAGTCTTATCAGTTTTTGTGGCAACAAAAGAGCACAGTAAGAGCAAAGCTACACCTGGAAGGCTTCCTTCCCCTCGCCTCAACTCCAAAGCTTTCCTCAGGCAGCCAGAGCACAAATAGAACATTTTCTCACTCCTAGTTTGTATGTGAAGCAGTCTCCACATTCTGAGGATGTCAATGTGGTAACATGTGGAGGGCGGGGAATGGAATTTTGTAAACTATTTCATTGGTGACAAAGAGATATGCATAGCAACTCACTTTCCTTCATATTAAATTGTGCATCTTGGAAGCAAGTAGCCATAGAACATACACTCACACATGATCAAACCATCCCAAGCCTTCTACCAATGAGATACAATCACTTGGTTCTAATCCCAAATGGTTTCCTGATCCGAGCACGTGAAAACGTCAACCACATAATGACCAGATCACCGTCTTCTAGTGTGCTCCAGGAAACTTTATATAGGTATCTAAAGGCTTTGTTCATCTAATGGTTTGGGATGTTTTGTGGTCAGTTTCCTTTTCTAATGACCCAAACTTAACAGCTATCATGAGAGTCAAGACCAAAAGCCTGCTCAACATCAAACACTACATATCTCAAAATTGTGATATTTCTTCAACGTTGCCAACCTTAATTTGTGCATTTGTGTCAGAATGTTTAGTTTACAAGTGTGGAGGCCGTAATTGTATAATTTGCTTTGAGAAGTACATAATGATTGTTTAAAGCTGCATTTAACATCAAAATTACGTTGGGTAATTTTTGATAATTTACATGTGTACTAAGCTAATAGTGGTTTTTTAAAACAGCACCTTGCCTGAACATGACCTTAAAGAAATTAATATATTGAAAAAAATATTGGAACCCTTCTTTGATTACTTTAATTGCACCATTAAACCACTTGACTTAAATTTGACCATTCCAGTCTGTGTGCTGTTCTAATTTCTCATTGTGTAAGCCAGTTTGCCAGTCAGTCCAATTGTCTTGTTCACTGGTCTTTAAAAGTTCTGTGCAATAACTAAAGGCAAAGGACTAGATGCACTACTGTGTATTGTAGAACGACACATGACTGTACCTTATTGCACTTAAATGGTATGTGGGGGATTTACAATCGCTTGCGTTGTTTCACAAAATAAATATCTCATGTCAAATACTAGATAAAAGCATGTTATTTCTACTGAATCCTGTTTAGATAATAGGCACAGAATACAGTGGGTACAGGGCCATCCGCTGCCAAAAGCAGCTTCAGTGTTCCTGAGTGATCACTAGACCAGCATTCTTAAGGATCCCAGATAGTCACTCACCACACCTGACCTGAGCTAGGAGCTATTATCCTCGATTCACATTTAACCCGAGGGGGACAATCCTGAACTGTATCGCCTAGTGGTCCTGCTCCTTGAGGCCCCTCCAGTTGCCAGTTTACACTGTACTTGTGCTTCCTTGTACTCAGAAGTGATGCACAGTAAGTCTAAACCCAGGTGAGAGATTGTCAGTTAGAATCTGGATTACAAGAAACTGCAATTATTCAGGTGCACTTGTGCCCAATGCATAAAATCTAACCTTCACAACTACCCTGTTGCAAGCTGTTTAGGCCGAGACACATTGATTTATCCAGCGCTTTAGCCCCACGCTTGGCACGGTATCCAAATAAGCAGTTGGCTCTAAACGTTAGTTTTCGTAAAAAGGTCACAGCCACACCTTAGCCAGATTAAATTCCTACGTCTCAAGACCGAAGCCCGTTCCAGTCACATACACCACACCCTACTGCAAGGCCACGGCCCGTTCCTCCTTTTTCTCTGCCGCTGGCCACACCACGGTTAACTTAAGGGGCATGTTGGTCTCACTGGTCAAGGAGAGCCGGGACTTACAGGGCAAGCGCAGGCAATGTGCGGGACACTAGGTGGCAGAGCCTACAGGACCCCCGACGTCTCCACAGGGCATTTCAACCTTAGCTTAAGGGTTGGGTCGGCCACAACCCCCAGAAAACCCGCGCAGGCAGCGCGATGCTGCCGTGTCGCTCGCGGTTAAAAGGGCCGCCGGCGGGGAGCAGACGGCCCCAGTTATGCGCAAGCAGGTGCTCTGGCGCTGCAGCCTGACCCCCGGCGCCACGCGCAGGCGCAGCGAGGGCTCAAAGGCAGCGCGTCACAAGAAACACCGACAACAGCGTTAGGATCAAGCCATTTTATTGAGGGCCTTCAGGGGTGAGTCGACGCTCTTGAGGGAACGAGATCCGACGTCCTCCGCCCGGCCGGGATCTGCAACGAGAGCGGTGGGTAAGCCGTGTGCCCCCCGGCCCGTTCCCTCCTCGCCGCCACGGCGGCCAGACTCAGACTCTAGTTCGCATCACCCTTGTCAGCAGTCTAACACGTGCTTTGATTGATATGTCATCACCGCTGGCACTCGCCTCCCACCGCGGCCACAACCCACTGCATAAGCATCCTCACCTCCCCAGCTTCACAGCCGCCGAAAGGCGGAAGGACGCCCACGGCTTGCACTTAAAGGAGCAGACAGGAAGTGGTTGGGCGGGCCTTCCCATTGTTAACCAATAGCAAGTCAAACTTCCGGCCACGTGCCTGGAACGTGGCCTAATGATTGGCCGTGTTCGCTGAGTCCTCCCGAATCTAGAGCGGTTACAAGCCAACCATGGAGACGGGCCGCCAGGAGAGAGAGGGTCGCGCAGGGTCCTAAATGCTTTCAGGTTTCTTTCCGCATCTCGGTCGCGGGCTTGTCGTTAGCGCGTCTCGCTACGGTCCACAACAGAAACCTTTACAAACGACAGAACGCAAGTAATGCCTAATTTGTTTGAGATATCCTGTATTTATGCCTGATTGTGAGTGTATGCACTGTCATTGATTGGTAGTGATGTGTTCAGGTTATGCTTCAACTACCAAATGCTGGTGGGAACGCGAAGCACCGAGAACTTTGCTCCGCTACTCTTCGGGAACACAAAATAGTACAACCATTTTTGAAAAGAGATCGGACAGTTTCTTATAAAGTTTAAACATGCACTTACCTTCCCTGTGACCTAGCTGGCCCTAGGTTTTCACCCAAGAGAAATGAAAATTTATGTTCACACAGATCCTGTGCACATATGTTTATAATAACACTATTCATAGTCCGCCCCTCCCCCCCCAAAACAGGACCGACCCCAGAGCCCTTTACTGGGTGAATTGTAGGCATGGTAAGGATGGTGGTGCATCCATACAATTGAATGCTACTCAGCAATAAAATGGAATGAATTATTGATGCATGCGACACTTGGAAGAATCTAGAGGCATTATGCTGAGCGAAAGGAGCCAGACTCGAAAGACAGGATGATTCCATTTCTATAACTTTCTAGAAAAGACAAAACTATAAGGGTGGAGAACAGATCAGTTTCCAGGAATGGGGTGGGGTGAGGGTGTAATGTGACCCCAGAGGGCAGCAGGAGGGCATTTTGGAGGGTGATAGAACGGGTCTGTATCTTGACTGTGGTTACACAACTTTATGCATTTGTCAAAACTCGTAGAACTGTTCACCCAAAAGATTTAATTTTACTGTGTGAGATTTAAAAATAAAAAAATTAAAATATAATTATGCTTCACAATTTTCCTTGACTATTTCTTTGCTTTGTATTTTTGAGGCTATGCTGTTTATCTCATTATGGTTTGTGACTGATAATATTTCCATTGTGGATTACATATATTTATGTATGAAATAACACACTAAACTATGGTTTTTGCCTTGAGTTCTAATTTATCTTACATTAGATTAGCATTGCTACTCCTATCTTTTTTCTTTTTTGTCTGTGTTTTTCTGATATAACTTTGCCCATTCCTTTATTTTTAACCTTTCTGCTGTTTTTGGTTAACATATCCTCTGTATTAGGCATATCGTTGGATTGTAGTGTTTAACCCAATGTGATAATATATATATTTTTTAATTCACTTAAAATTTTTATTATGGCCCTGGTCCCTGTAACTCAGTTGGTTGGAGCGTCATCCAGTGCACCAGAAGGTCCTCTCTCCCCTTCCCTTCTTCCCTCCTCTCCCTCCTCTCCCTCCAGGTATAGTCATATACATTGTCCATTGTAGNTTGGATTGTAGTGTTTAACCCAATGTGATAATATATATATTTTTTAATTCACTTAAAATTTTTATTATGGCCCTGGTCCCTGTAACTCAGTTGGTTGGAGCGTCATCCAGTGCACCAGAAGGTCCTCTCTCCCCTTCCCTTCTTCCCTCCTCTCCCTCCTCTCCCTCCAGGTATAGTCATATACATTGTCCATTTGGGTCTCTTAGAAATATTGAGCCAGCATTTCAGTCAGGGTTTATTGATTTAAATGATGGAATGCCAATTCAAACTAGGTGGGTAAATAGGGGAAGGCTCGGTTAAATAGGACAGAGCAGCGCAGCCTGATCTCAAGCCAACTAGAATCAGAACTCGAGCTTTTCCAAGGCTCCCTGACTGCATCCATGCTTCTATCTCTCATCTCCTTGCTTTTGAATTGGCTTTCTTTGCAGGATAGAGGCAGCTCCTGGGCCTCACACCTCCTGGCTTTGCCACTAGAAAGGAAACAAGTCTCTTTTCATGGTTCTAGCTGGAGCGAGATTGGGTATAAGCCTACCCATGGGTCAAGTAAAGGTGGCCAGATGAGTACCACTTCATAACTCAGTGATTTAAAACAACAGCCATTTTATTATCTCTCACAGAATGAACTGAGTTAACTGGACTCAGCTGGGAGGTTCTTGTGCTCCATATAACAGCTGAGGTCACCTAGGGCCTTGACCGGGCCGGAACATTCAAGGTGGCTCAACCAGATGTCTGGCAGCTGGGACCTCGCCGGAGCTGTTGATTAGAGCAGCTCCATGTGGCCTGTGTATGGGTGGCTTGGGCTTCTCCACACGTGGCAGCTAGCTTCCAAGAGTTAGTATTCTAAGAGGAAGGAAATGGAAGCTACCAGGCCTCTTAAACCTGTGATGGGAGGTCCCTGAATATCGCTTCTGGTCAAGACCAGTCACAGGCCCAGTCCAGATGGAAAGGGAGGGGAAATAAGCTCTACCTTTTGATGGGTAGAGCAGCATGTGCATAGAGGGAGAGAAAGTATTGTTTGGGACCATCATTGGGTGGCTGCCACAATAGACTAGTAATAAGATTGGGCCAGCCTGGGTAGGTGCCCACTAGCGAACAGACTACAGGTATGTCCACACCACTTAGCATATCTGCCTCTTGCAGAGCTGACCCCAGTTCCTGTTTACTCGCCCCCTCTGTGGTCCCAGCAATGAGAACAGCCCCTTGAACAGGGTAAACGTCTGACGAACTATCATTGAATTCCTTAGTTTCCTTGTTTGTGTAACTGTACCAGTCAAATGCTTGCCATTCTGCCTTCGCAAGCTTTGTGTCTGTCCTGTCTCTCCCTTCGTCTTGCTCTAGATGAACAGTCTTCTAACAGTCTCTCTCAAACACCTGCCTTTTCCCCTAACTCTCCGTGAAACACTTCAGCCCTGTGTCACTCTGCTGCCCACTTGAGGAAGCCCAGCCTAACTTAGGCCCCCTGCCCCGCACTGGCCCACCCTGCCAGCCTTCCCAGCCCCATCTCCCACTGTAGAAGCCGAGCACTACCGGTCCTCTCCCCCTAGAATATCCTTTCCCCTGTCAAATCTGACAAAAGGCCCAGCACAGACACCACTTCTTCCATGAAGCCCTCTCTGCTCTACCTTTCCCACCCCCTTCCTCCCACCATTCCCATCTCTGTCTTGAACACCGCAGTTCTATTTCTGAGCTTATTCCAGCCTTCTCACACCTCACAGTCAGCCTTGTATCTTGGTTATTTCTGTGCATGTCCTATCACCTTTACCAACTTGCAAACTCTTCTGATTTGTTCCCTCGTGGTACCAATCCTTTGTACTCAGAAGCCTTAGTGATGTTTGTTGAATGAATGGATGGTACTCCATGTAGAGGTCAGGGATGAAGTCATCTCCAAAATGAAGCTGATTAAATTATAGCTAAAGTTCCTTTCTGCTCTAAAATTTGGTTACATCTGTGAATGAGCTCTCCTAAGGAAAAGGAGATAGACTGGGTAAGGTATGTGTATGAAGCCTTGAGAGAGAGTCTGGAAGGAGGAAGGAGAGCCAGGAAATGGTAATACTCAAGGTGGAAAGGTTCAAGTAAAAGGAACTGTTAACGTACCTGAACTGAAGAGAGGCCTATGGAAAAAAAGATCAGGCATGGCCACTGGGAGTTTACAAGAGGAAGAATGTTTATGAGCTGCTCGAGAGAGGTTTCCAGAGAGTTCTGTGGAAATAAGCCAGACCCCAGGGGATTAGGAGGGACTGGCCAGTGAGGAAGTGGAGGCACTCTGAGAGGACACTGTTTCCACATTGCTGCTGCACTTGGGCCTTTGAGAATGTTAATATATTGGTCACAAATGGACTTGGTACAAATGGATGTGAAACAGAACAGCTCAGAGGTGAGTGAAGAAATACTCAGGACTGGACTGAACTACCCCACAGGGCAGAAACCCCGGCTGGCTGCTGTATTTCTTACATTCTTTTGCATAACCCCCAGATAAGATCAGGAGACTTATGTGTCATTTGAGGCAGCGCCCCTGGTGACCACATATTTGTGTAAACTTCTGGTTGTCATCCCAGGGACACACCAATCTGGGCTACTGCTTAACCACATCTATAGGTCACATAATTTTATCTTGTCATAATGCTGTGGGAGGGGCAAGAATAATAACAGCTAATGTTGGAACATGCTTTAGCATCTGAGGCAGCCTAGACAGGCTCTGAAGTCATGTAGGTAGCTGGGTTCTAATCCAGGTTGTGCCTTTTACTAACTGTGTTACCCTCCCAGCTATTAACCTTTTAAAATTTCAGTGTGTCATCTGGAAAAATGGAGCTAGTAACACCCACCTCAAAGAACTGCTGTGAAGATATTGTAAGCCCTGGCCAGTTTGGTTCAGTGGTTAGAGTGTGGAAGAGTCCTGGGTTCGAGTCCAGCCAAGGGCACGTACCTCAGTTGCAGGCTTAATTCCCGGCCCTGGTCGGGGTGTATGCAGGAGGCAACCAGTTGATGTGTCTCTCTCATGTCAATGTTTCTCTCTCTCTCTCTCTCTGAAAAGCAATGCAAAAAATATCCTAGGGGGAGAATTAAAAATAAAAAGATAATGTGCCCAGCCGGTGTGGCTCAGTGGCTGAGCAACGACCTAGGATCCAGGCGATCGGGGTTCGATTCCCAGTCAGGGCACATGCCCAGGTTGCGGGCTCGATCCCCAGCAGGGCGTGTGCAGGAGGCAGCCGATCAATGACTTTCTCATCATTGATGTTTCTCTCTCTCTCCCTCTCCCTTCCTCTCTCTGAAATCAGTAAAGATATATTTAAAAAAAAAAAAAAGATAAGGTGAGATGATCCTGTAAAGCATGTATTTTTGCACATTTCCAAACATTAGCAAACAGTCAATAAATATTAACTGATCATCGGAAACACTTTTGCGATACAAGAAAGTGTGTAGTAGGTTCCATTCTATGGCAAGAGAAGTTCTTCAGAATGAGTGTCACAGTCTTTTCCGATCCAATTATCCTAGAACAGGAAGAGTCAAAGTTCTATTAAGAACCAAGCTGCTCACGGTGACAGCGGCTTTTCTTCAGTTTCCCTTAAACATTAGGACACGAAGGAGATAGAAAGCCTCCTACCAGCCACTCTCGCTTCATCGTTTCATTTCTCCCACAACTACCCCACATGTGCTGTAAGTTCAGGTCTGTTTGGAAGCCGCAGCAACAGCACTGCAATCACTAAAAATAAGT